CTCCTCCCCCGGCGGCGCCCCTCCTCGCCCCTCCTTCCCCCTCCTCCTCCGGCGGCGCCCCTCCCCCCCTCACCTGTTGGTGCAGGTAGCGGTGCTCATACTGGGCCAGGGGTTGGCCGTCCAGCAGCACCCGGCCCCCGGTGGGCTGGTACAGGTTCTGCAGCAAGGCGGCCACCGTGCTCTTCCCCGACCCGTTGGGGCCCACCAGGGCGGTCACCTTCCCCGGATGCAGCGTGAACGTCAGCCCCTGGAGGAACCGGAGGAGTTAAGGGCCGCTCCCCAGCGACCGTGATGCCTGACCCCGCAGCAGGGAGCCAGGTCCAGACCCCGCGGGTCTCCCTCAGACACCTGGAGCACAGGCTTCTCAGGCAGACTGGGGTAGGAGAAGGAGACGTCTTGGAAGTCCACGCGGCCCTCCAGCCTGGGAGGGGCCAGGGTCCCCGGCGGGGGCAGATCTGGCCTTCGGTCCAGGTAGCAAAACACCTTCTCGGCGGCGCCCACGTTGCTCAGCATGTCTCCGTACATGTACACCAGGTTCTGGAAAGAGGGCGGACTCGCCAGTCAGGCCCGCCGGAAGCCAGGGCCCCCACTCAGCTCCTCCCAAGCTCTGCCACACCCTGACCTCAGCCAGCCTCTCCTCTCCCGCCCCTGACCCAGAAAAAGAGCCTCTACCTTTTGATGGTTTGATGAAACTTGGGGAAGGAATGTTGCGGCAGCGATTGTTTTTACTTAGGTAGCCTTATCTGTTCTTTTGGAACAGTGTTGGCTCGTAGCCCAGGCTGCCCTCGAATGGGACATCTTCCCCCAGGGTCGCAAGTGCCCCAGCATTACAGGCACATGCCACCGTGCCCGGAGTCGTTTGGGTAGGATTTAAAGTCGCAGCATTATTTCGGTGTTCTGAGCTGCCACTGAACAGCTCTGAAGCGCACACAGCACATCAAGCCCCACGGCTCTTGCCCCCTGCTCTGATCTAGGTGAGCCTGGTGTCCTGTTGCTTGAGGCAGACGACCCTTAGCACCCAGTGTGGCCACTTCACCTTTGAGATGATCAGAGTGGTTGGCATCGATCCAAACACACACACACACACACACACACACACACACACACACACACACAAAGATGGTGAGGAAGCGACCAGGAGTATTACGCTCAGCGCCCAAAGCAAAGTAACTTCTATTTTAAGGTGATCAGATATAAAGGAATACTTAAGTACTTTCCTAACCAAGCTATCCCGCTGGGTAGCCCGACAGTGGATGAGGTCCACGTCAGTAAGGGAAGGAGGCGCAGAGCAGCACCAGCCCTGATAACTTAACAAATGCGGCATAGGGCATCAGCGGCACTTTGCCAACTCCAGGAGAGCCAGATACATTGCGTCTCCCAGAAAAAGGACACAGCCATAACTGGAAAAGGGGAAACACCGAATCTTAAAGTTTCCAGAATTTATCTACGAGTCAATAGGAAAGAGAGTCAGAGGAACCCGAGGACTAATACACAGAACCCCGGGCCATAGGAAACACCACAGGACAAAATTCCCATTCTTTCAGCACATAGCGAGGTGGGAATGTCAAATCAGCGGACACAGAGAGGCTGAAAAGACATCCTCAGTCATTCCCGTGAGCCTGGGGAGATCTGAGCCCTGGGCGTACTGGAAGAATCTAAGGACTTGTTTTTAGGTGATAATCTTTTGGACTACATACTTAGATCCTTATATTCCAGAGGTGCACATTGAAATGCCTACAGGTGAGACTGTGATGTCTCGAATTTGTTTCAAAATAGTGTGAGGCGAGTGAGGGCCGATCAACCACAGAGGGATGTTAGGGGAGGTTAGGCTTACTAGGTGAGATTAAGGCTAGGGGTAGGGTTGGGTTTGGGGTAAGGTTAGACGGGTGGGGTTCAGAGTTGGAGTTGTTTGGGTTAATTTAGAATGGAGTTAAGCTAGTTAGATTTGGCTGTGGCTGGAGTTGGGGTTAGAGTTATGATCACTGTTAAAGCCGATAATAGTTATCTGAAGATTCATTACAATGTCCTTTTCTAGCATTTAACAATTTTTCATAAGAAAATAAACTAGTTTGTTTGTTTAACAGATAAAGCTCATGGCCCAGAAGCCCAGAGAGAAACGCAGAGCTTCAAAGCATCTCCTGAGGCGGGCTCACTCACCTGGACATAGTGGCCAACTTCCTCCTGGTACAGCAGGAAGGAGAGCAGGCCACCCCTGGTGACCTCGCCGGCCAGGATCTGCTGCACGCCGCAGTTTAGAATCAGCACCTGTATGCCCAAGCCCATCACCTGGACAGAAGGAGGGAGAAGTGAGGGAGGCCCCAAGCCTCTGCAGCCTGGCTCCCCATCCCTGCCTCCTCTCCCTGCACAGGCCGCCTCACCCTCCGAACGACTAAATACAGCTCTTTCTCCAGGTCTCGGCGCCACCACAGCTGTCGACACCGCTCCAGGGCCTCCCGGTAGCGGCTGACCTCGTGCTCTTCCGCCCCAAAGCTTCGGACAGTCTGCAGCCCTCCAACGGCCTCGCACACCACCTGGCCCGCCTTGGCCACCTCATCCTGGATCTCCCTTAGCACCGCCTGGGGAAGAATCGGATAAAGCAGTTAATGTGGGGGGCGGGGCGGGGCGGGGCGGGGCCGGGCTTCCCTCCAGTTGCCTTTCTTTCCAGAAGGAATATTGAGAGAGAGACAGAGACAGAGACAGAGACAGAGGGACAGGGAGGTGCTGGGGAGATGGCTCCCTCGGTAAACTGTTTTGCTGTGCCTAAGGGCCTGAAGCCCGGAGTCCCGAGACACATCCACAGCGAATCTCACAAACCCACGAGGGCACAGGAAGGGGAGGGGGTTCCTGAGTCCTCACTGTTAACCACTGTGGGACTTGAAGTAACTCCTTCCTCCCTGGTGTCAGATGAGGGAAGAGATCTGGCTGGGAAGGAGGGGGCTATTCATAAGGGGATAAGGCAGCCGCTGCCCCAGGATGGCCTGAGTCAGCCCAACTTCACAGCAAGACTGTTTGGCCTCAGGGCAGGCTGAGCTCATCAGAGCCTTTGCCTCTGAGCATCACCTCAGAGCTGACCACAGCCAGCCTTGGCTGCAAACTGTGGGTGCCAGTTTAAGACCTGTGCTCTGCATCTCTAATCCCCCCTCTCCTGCTGCCTTTCTCTGTCTTGGTGGATTCTGCCGCAGCCCATTAACTAGCCTATGGGGCTGTCCCCCGCATGTCAACCAGCATCCAGAATATATGCAGGATACGTTTTTAAAACACAGTTTTTAAAAATATAAGGAATACCTTTTAAAAAACACAAATTTTTTTAAAAGATGAAAAATTGGGAATTTCTCTTAGCCATCCCTCCAAAGAATGTGTCAACTGTCCCATAAGCATGTGAAAACACACTTAACATTAATGGTTAGAAAGATTCATGTCAAAGCCACAGGAGCCACTGGAATGGCTTTTGTTGAAAAGTAAAAAATAAAAAGACAGTAAGTCTTGGGGTGAATGTGGAGAAGCCAGGAGGCTTGTGCTCTGAACTCTGGCCCGAGAGTGAGAGCACAGAGAGCTTCCCACCCTGTGTGCTTTCCTACATCAGAAATCCAGGAGGCAGAACTGACTTTCGGCCTCAGCATGGCCCAACTCATGGCCTCCCTCCCCTGCTCTCATCTAATCACATGTGCTGGCGTCAAAGGGGAAATTTTCTAGGGACTGGAGGGTTGGCTCAGCAGTTTAGGGGCTCTGGCTGGTCTTCCTCTGCTCGTCCAGACCACCCAGGTTCCATTCCCAACAACCACATGGCAGCCCACAACTGCCTGTAACTCCAGTTCCAGGGGACTCAGCGCCCTCTTCTGGCCTCCTCGGGCACTGCACACAGACGATGAACATGTGTGCCAGTAAAACACGGTACACATAAAATAAAGACAAGGTGTGAACCTCCTAAGACGTTCTTCCCTCTCACCCTCAGTCACTGGTGGGGAGGGTCCTCGAAGACTCTGTGAAGCTCGTGAGAAGATCTCATCTTACAAGAAGGACGCCCCGCCCACCTCCCTCTCCCCCACAGCTCAACACGTGCAACACTTCCGCCTACGGATCGGGTGGCCACCGGCCTCCTCAACTCAGTGGAGGTGGTAAAGTACAATAAACTGTAGGGGCTGAAAAGAAGTGTCCCTCTGTCCGTCTGTCCGTCTGTCCGCCTGTCTCTCATCCCATGAATTGCACGTGGAGCCTGCACACCTCAGAGCACACATACCTGATGGCGGGTATTGTACACCTTCTCGGCCGCTATTGTGAGGGGCAGGTCCAGCAGGGAGAGGAAGGTGAGGCGGGGTGACACTCGGAGCATGAAGAAGTAGAGGCCCACCACCTTCACCAGGCTCCGCAGCAGGATGTTGGCATTGAAGGGGAGCCAGCGGCTCATGAGGGAGGTGTCCGAGCTCAGCCTGGAGCTCAGCTCCCCTGGGGAGGAGAGGATGAACTCGATACCTCCCCCATCCTCTCCCCAGGTCATCCCCACCTCTCCCTTGGTCATCCCCCCTCTCCCGGGTCACCCCCACCTCTCCCAGGGTCATCCCCACCTCTCCCAGCCTCCTCTCGCACAGGGAGCCTGGGCTACACTCTAGCCTGCTGTAAAGGACAGCTGCCAGGCTCCAGCAGGACGCAGGCAGGAGAGGACCCCGGCTTCACCTGTCTTGGTCTCCTGGAAGAAGCCAAGGTCCTGGCGCAGCAAGGATGAGAAAAGCTGCTCTCGGATCCGCAGGTTGATCCTGGACATGGTGAAGAGGAAGGAGCCTCCTCGGCAGCCGGCAGACAGGGAGCTGGCGGGGCAGGGGAAAGAGGGATGGAGAGAAGGGGGAGTTTGGGGGAGTAGACAAGAGGCAAAAGGGAAAGGAGAGGTGAGAGCACATTAAACAAGGGGAGATACAGGGAGCTAGGGTGGGACCAAACTCAGGACCGCACCAAGCCCCATGTGCTCAGGGACTCCCTGGCCGCAGCAGCTTCCAAAGGAAACGGCAGCAAGTCCCTCCCATTTTGCAAATCCCCGAATCACCAACCTCATCTTTTCTCCTTGGGGAACTCCTTAGACCAACCAAATTTTCATAATAAAACTTTAAAAAGAGTCTTTTGTTGTTGTTTTGTTTTGTAAGTTTTTCAGAACAGGATTTCCCTGTGTTGCCTTAGCTGTCCTGGACTCACTTTATACACTGGCTGGCCTTGAACTCACAGCCATCTGCCTGCCTCCACCTCCCTGAGTGGCGGGATTAAGGGTGTGCACCACCAGGCCTGGCTGAAGCAGTATTTCTTAAATGCATAAAGGCAGGTGTTTCACAAAATATGGGTTTCAGATGCAAATTTAGTTGCCATATTGGATAAGCAGACATGAAATGGTGGCCTTTGGGTAGTCACAGTAAGATCGAAAAGGAACTAACAAGGAAAGAAGAAACTCTGCGAGTGTGTGTGCGTGTGTGTGTGCATGTGTACGCACGCATGCACACGAATGTGCATTCAAAGGTTGACATGGATGCCTTCCTAGACCACACTGCACCCGTTTTTTTCCCAGCAGGGTCTCTCACTGATCCCGGAGCCCACCGCTTCTGCTAGACTGGCCAGGCACCACGGCTGCGGGATCTGCCTGACTGGCCGCACACCCTTTATGGGGGTTAGAGACTCACAGAGCCCGGATGCTGGGGATTCACACCTCGCTTGCACGGTAAACCCATAACTCGTGGAGCTGTCTCCCCAGCCCAGGAGAGACAGTTCTCAAAGCAAGGATCAGCAGCGTGGCGTCTGCACTGAGGCCGAGGCCCAGCGTGTGGGTGAGGACGGGAAGGGGGGGCATCTTCAGGAAGGACCAGGAGGGAGTGTGACACAGGGGGTCATGGGCGTGTGCAGCGAGAGTGCCTAACCAGCAGCAACGCCCCTGGAGCAACCAGGTTCATAAAACAGAGCTCAGCGTGAAGCCGTATCTAAGAACCCACCCTGATGAGCTGAGTTAGCACAGGAGGAAGAGTAGTTTAAGAAATCAGAAGACAGCGTGTGGGCCAGCCCAGGAGGTAAAGGCCACCAAGCCTGGTGGTGACCTGAGTTCCATCTCTGGACCCCACATGATGGAAGGACAGAGTTGACTCCAGCAAGCTGACCTCTGACCTCACACACACACCCTTACTAAAGAAAGCCAGAAGGGGGCGTGGTTTAGAACACCCAAGAACAGGCTGGCCTTCAGGGTCTACAGAAGGACAATTCTCCCAGGAAGGCAGAGCAGAGCGAAGGGGGAAGGGGGTGTCATAAATGCTAATTGCAGAGAGAGATCAGTATGAACCGCAAAAGCCAAACGTTACAGAGACACCAAAGAGAGCCGAAGCCTGAGTCGGGAGAGCAGAGAACTGACCCATAAGGAGGTCACCTGTGCAGCGTCAGAGAAGAGAAAGAAAAAAAGCAAAACTAGAACAGAGGTAGAATGAAGGACTAAGGCGAGAGACAGGAACATAGACGTACACGCATACATATATGCATACATACATACATACATACGTGCACAGAGAGAAAGCAAGCGCCCCCTCACACCTGAGGCTTCTCACCCCAGTCACGGCCCAGCCGTGCAGGCCACTGTTTCTTTACTCTTACTGCAGGCTCAGGGGTCTGCGTAAAAAGAGGAAAAGGCAGGAAGTGAGGAAGTCACAAGATGCTGGGGAGGTAGTCAGACTTGGAACCTGAGCTTCAGAGACTGGGCAGGGAGGGAGGGAGAGAAGAAGGGAAGGAGGATGGAGACATGCCCTCTGCTGCTGGGAGAATCATGGGAGGCCCTTGAAGACACTGGGAAGGAGAGACACACGGCTCCTTCAGGGACACACTACCTTCCTGCTTGCTCCTATGTAACACAAAATAAACTGTGCCGATGTTGGAAAATCCAAAGGAGGAGGTAAGTGTCTGGGCGTGAGCCAGTGGTGGATAAATGCATATATTTCAGTCGAAGCACTTTGTGCTTTGTGCAAAACAGAGTCAGAATGGAGGCCCCTGGCCAGGCTTGGGTCTACCAGCGGGACCTGAAGTGGATGACCTCTCACCTCCCCACAGAGAAGAGGCACATGAAAAAGATGGCGCTCGCAAAGGCATCCGGGTCAAAATCGCCTCCCAAGATGTCAATCACGCGGCCAGAATAGTGAGGGATCAACGTCTCCCCTGAAAGAGGCAAGAGAGATAAGGAGGCTGCTCCCCGCCACGGCCCTTCTCCTACCCGCTCTCTCGGCGGCCTCTGCCTCTCACCCAGCACAGCCATCGCAAGGAAGAAGAAGGCCACCAAGAGGAAAGGCAGGTCGGGCCTGGAGAGCTTCAGCAGCCGCCACATCAGCGCTCTGCTGTTCTCCTGGCCAGGTTGCTTCTCCTGGGCGTCCGGCGGGCTCAGCACAGTCCACACCGCGTGGCCCAGCGCGGCAGCCGCATAGCCAGCCAGCAGCCAGCCCCAGGACGCAGAAGCCGCTCTGACGGCCGGGGCGCCCATGGTGCCTCCCACCAGGGCTCTCAGCGAGAAGAACAGGGGGGCGGCCAGGCAGAGCAGGGGCAGAAAGCCCCCCACGCGCCCCAGCAGCTCCCACAGCACTCCAAGCCGCAGGGCGCCCTCCAGCCACACTCCTGGCAGCCCCGGGGGAAGCAGACTTCCCAGGGGCCCCTGCAGCAACCCCAGTAAAGCCATGTCCGCCAGCAGCAGAGAGGCCCCGCGCCTCAGGTAGGACAGCGCCATGGTGGGGCTGCGGAAAGAAAGGGAGAAATTAGGGTGCTGGAGGTCCAGAGCCGGCACAGGCCTCCGGCTAGGCACCTCCCCTGGCATCTAGGTCACGCCGCCGTCTGAAGGAGCAGGGAAGGCCACACCATTCTCACACAGAGACACAAGGACACACAGACACACAGCGGGGGTGGGGGTCTACACACACACACACACACACACACACACACACACACACACACACACACCACGGTTGGGGGGGCTGGTCCGCCGCGCACAGACGGGGTGGGGTGGGGGTCCGCTGCCACCACTCCTGTCTCCTTGAAGCTCGCTGGTGTCGCCCCCGGGTCCTTTGGGCCAGCGGACGGGCTGCAGGGGCGGGATGGGGGCGCGTCCGGCAGCGGCAGAGAACTTGGGGCAAGAAGCGCGGAGCAGGGGGGCTGGGCGGGCGCGGGGCAGAAGGCTAGCGGCAGCGGACGCGGGGCGAGGGAGCGGAGCAGAGGACTTCGGCCGGGGTGAGGGGCGGGGGACCTGGGGCGCGGGGCAGGGGCGCGGAGTGAGCCGCAGAAGAGCGGGACGGGGCACCCGGGGTTTGGGGAGGGCCGTGCCCCGCTGGCGCCCGGGTTCTCCCCTGCAGATCTCACCTGCGGCTGGGGACGGCGGCTCCGGTTGCCCCTGGCCTGAGCTGCTCCCGAAGTGGGGAGCCTGGGTGCGCCGTGCGGGCGCCGGGGCCGCGGCTTTCGCTTTCGCTTCTCCGCCCGGGCCGCGCTGCTGCGCGCGCAACCGCCAGCAGGTGGCGCCCGTCAGCCTGCGGGCGCGGAGCGCCCCGGTCCCAGGAACCGCGCGCGCTGGGCGGCCGCCACTGGCCGAACTCTCGGGGTCGGGGACGCTTCGGAAAGGGAAAAACCTACGTTCTTTTTTTCCAGTTAACTCCCTCGACCTCAGAGCATATCTTGAGAAGCTCCCATTTGGCTGGGAACACAAAGGTAGAGAACCCTTGCCTGAGCCCAAGGTTCACTCTCCAGTAGGTGTAAGGCAAGGGAGAGTGGGGGAGGAGGGAAGGGAGGAGAGGAGCGAAGAAGAAGCGGACAGGAGAGGGAAGAGAATGGAGGAGGAGGAGAGAGGGGGAGGGGTGGCTTTAGGTCCCCTCTCCGTCATCCAAACAATTAACTAAGGACCACAGAGGAGTCCACCTCAAGTCACTTTGGAAAAAGGAAAGAAGAAGGGGGAGAAGGAAAAGGGAGGATGGGATTTTTTTCCCCTGACGAGCTCAAGAATTTGGGGTCTGAGGTACAAACAGGGCCTAATTAGGCCTCAGGCCGTATCACCAGGCCAAAGGTTTCCTCTCGCAAATCTTGAACCCAGGAGGCTCTGGCCCTTCGTCCTCAGGCCGCCTACTCAGCGCTGTTCCTGCGGTGAGGATCCTGGGTCAGTGCTGGGGGAGGGGAGGGGGCGAGCTGCCTGTGAGGCAGGCAGAAGCTGCTCCCGGCTAAGGCTGTCACACAGAAACAGTTTCCACCCGACCTCCCCACCAGAGGCCACCCCTCCGGGCTCCAGGGCAGCCCTTCACCTAGCGTGATGAGGCTCCAGGTTCTCAGCGAGGAAAATGAAGCGTCTTTGCTGAGCATCACCACGTCCCTCCCCCAAAGCCGACCTTCAGAAATGACTCTAAAGAAACTAGCTCTTAAGGAAAAAAAAAAAAAAACCCTTTGAAATGTTGGTGTGACTACCCATGAGTCACTTGAGTTAAATGTGGGGGTTTGGGGGGCATGTTAAGGCAAGTCTTGTAGTGAGAATTCAGAAATTTTAGCTTTTTTTTAACACCAAAATATTGTAAGACTGTGTGTACACTTTAAGGCCAGGTGTGAGCTATGATCTGCCTGGTCCTCCTCTGGCCGAGGGGAGGCTTCGCCACCTGCGGATAGTTTCTGTGATTGTGTGACGGTTGGAATTCTGGGAACTTTTGGTGGGACCTTTTAGAGGCTAGATAAATACGGGAGCCCCCAGGAGGTGGGGGTTTGTGGTTGTTGGGAGGGGAGCCTTGGTTTCTTCCGTTTGTTAACAGTCACGCTCAAGGAAGAAACAGGAAGAGAGAAATTACATTCAGGGACCTCTCCCTCTAGCTTTCTCTCCTATCTAGTGATAGGGGGTGAAATTGGGGTGGGGGATAAAGGGTGGGAAAAAGAAGAAACCACAAAGTAGCAAAGACCAAAGCTGGGCCGCAGCCACCCTTGTCTGCTGGGGCTTTGGGAGCACCCCTGGAGGAGAAAGCTCGGCCTGGCTGCTGCCTCAGGCTTCTCCCCCAGCCCTTGGCTCCTCACAGCACCCACACTTCCCCAGGCCCAGGATTGCCTTCTTCCCTTCCGCCCTGCAGCCAGGGGTGAAACACCATGAAACCGAACCTGGGCTGCATCGTTACATTTCAGTATCCGATGTCACAGAGGCATCGCCTCTATGTTTATAGTCACCACAGCGACCTCCTGGTCGCCCGAATGAAACATTTGCGAGGGGCCACACTGGAGCCCCCAGCCACGGCACTCCAGGGAGGACTGTGGGCCAAACGAAACTGAAGGACAATGGTGGGTCCTCCTGAGAGGTGTCTGCAGAAGGAAGCCCTGGAGCGGGCGGTTCTCCGAGAGCCATCCCTTCTCAACGGAAGCCTCGAGTGACTTCCTGCTTGCTCTTTAGCCCTCCAAACAAAGGACCCACAGCCTGACCCCATTCAGCCACAGCCCACAAGCATAACCGTTTTCTTTTATTGTTATTTAGAAGGTCTCCGGGGATGGGGTGCTGGCTGCCAGACAGGGTGAGCCTGGCTGTCCCCAAGGCCTGGAGCTTTCTGCTCGGGCCCTTCTTTCTCCTGGGACTGAAGCTGGAGCACATCCTTGAGTTCACCAGGCTCACCAGCACCCAGGAGGCCTGTCCAGCTGCCGCCGTCACTGCTTGGCCTCTCGGTATTTGTGCAGCAGGTCACTGACATCCGAGCTCTCCACTTTCACCCAACCGTCTTCCTTCATGTGGTACACTGTGGGCGATTGAGAAAGGGACATGGGGCCAAGCCTCTCTTCAGTAACTGTCAGTGGCAAGGCGGGGATGGCAGCAGCAACTTACAAGGGCCTTAACACACACACACTCACACACACACACACACACACACACACACACACACACGCTGGGACATCAGTGTTCTCAGACCTGAAAATCTCCACTCCAGCTCCCCAGCTCTCCCAGTCTAAAGTCTCCCCCTTAGCCCCACGGTGGGCAGAGTCTCTGTCCCTTACTGTTAACGACTCCCCCAGAATAGCTGTCTCTGTGGGTGGCATAGACGATGGCCCTGCGGCCGAGGTCGTAGGCCTCTTCGGGGCTGAGGTCCGGCCGGTACCCGCTGTCCATCACCCCGTAGGCATAGGTGTTCCCGCTGCCGGTGGAGAACATCTGTCCGGAGAGCCGGGTTCCGTTTTCATTCACGTAGTAGAGTCCTGGTCCCTAGAAGAAGGGAAGGCGTCCTGCGTTGAACTTGGAAGTGGGTTACTGGCGATAAAAAGAGCCCGAGTGTGCTTTGTGAGGAGTGGGCCACGCAGCAATAGTGACGAAACACCGAGATAAGATGCCAGCTTTGGTAAGCAGTAGACTTGAACCGGGCACGGCGAGGGTAGTGCCCGGTGGGGAGGGTAGTGCCTGGTGGGCAGGACCCTCGGACCCGGGGTGGGGGCACAGGCACGGGCTGCTCACCTTCTTGTCCCAGCCGCAGATCATGCTCCCCATGGACAGGCCCAGGCCCCGGTACTGGATCATCATGTTGGAAAGCAGCTTGGAGGCCGCAGACACAGAGATGCGCTCCCCGTTCCGCAGATAGTACAGCCTGGTGAGGAGGGCAGCAGAGGGCTTATGGGGTCCACTGTCAGGGGTTTTCAGGTTGTCTGCTTTAGGAGCAGGGACACGCACAAAGGCTTTTTTTTTTTTTAATCCCTTATGAAATGGATCACGGGGGACAGGCAGCCCGGGAGGCCCAAGGAGGGAACCAGTGAGAACTCTCACCTACCTGCATTCCTTGGCCAGCAGCCTCTCCCAGTACTGACAGTCGGCGGCACAGCCGGACATGGTGCCAAGCAGGTAAGGATTGATCTCGATCACCTTGTTCACCCTCAGGGTGGCTGGATCGAGATGAAGAAACGCACTCACAGCTCTCCCTGCTCTGCCCTAACGTCGGAGTGGGCCTCCCGCCCTAGGGAGACCTCACAGACTCCGAGCCTGGACCGCGAGCACTCACCAATGTAACTCCCAGCAGAGGCCCGGGAGTCCACGGCCACGATGACTCCGTGCTGGAACTTGAAGGCCAGCGTGGTCGTGCCATGGGCCATCTCAATCTGAACATTCCTTTCCTGGTCACTACCGAAGGACCTCAGGAATTCAGTGGGCTATAGAAGGAGCAGAGGGGGGACAATGAACACCTTGGTGGCAGGAGGGTCCTGGACAGGGTGTCGGAGAGTGTGTGTGTGTGTGTGTGTGTGTGTGTGTGTGTGTGTGTGTGTGCAAACTCTAGCCGGTAAGAGTGCCAAGGAAGGAAAGCAACTTTATGATTTCCAGCACAAGGGGGCAAAGGTCATGGTAACTGACTTCAAGGTTTCTCCTCCTCCGTGGCTCCTTCAGCTCTCACAGGGTACATTTTAATAACGTGTTCCCATGTTACAGGAGAGGCCCTGAGACCTAGACCACCTAACCCGTCCTAGGACACAGGGTGGGTTGCCGAGGCCAGGTTGGCCACCCAAGTTCATGGCTCTTCCCAGGCGATGCAGGACCTACCTGCGGGAGGGGCGCTCTGTGAAGGGTGGTGATTTGTGCAGGGGTTGAGATGGGCACCCCGCATCTTCGCTGCCCCTCCCTCTCGCCCGCCCGCCCTCGGTCCCTCCCCTGCCTTCATCTCCACGTGGGTTCTTCAGGGCTGGCCTGGAAGATGCTCTCCCGGACAGCCGCTCCGGCTTCCTCACCTCCTTAGACCCTCCTTTCTCTGGGCACCGCCCCGCCCCCACCCCCACCCCCACCCTGCCCCGACCCCCTCAACCCCCCCTCCTCACGCATCTCTCACCTGCATCCCCCGGGGAAGTGCGAGCTCCGGAGTCTGCGCAGAGAAACTGTAGTGCCCCGGGTCTGAGCGATGCCCGATGTCCGTACCCAGCGCTGCCCACTCGGGCCGCTGGCCCCGAGCAGCTCCGCACAGATCCAGTAACGCCATGACCGCTCAGCCCGGGAGCTCCGTCGACTCTCCCTCCGACAAGGAAGTGAAAGCGAAAGCCACAGCACCAGGGGGAGGGAACCAGGTCCCCGTCGTCCGCGCCCCCGCCCCCACCCCTGCCCTTTTCAAGAAGGGCCCTGTCAATGGGTTTCCGAACTAAACGTGTCGTGTTGGGGACCAGTTTTCCTGCGGCCAGGTCGGCAAGGCCAGCTAGGGAGTGGGCTGTGAGGAGGAAGCGGGGGTGCGCCTTGGGAGGCCGCCTGGCCGTGGGGCGCGCGGGGACCCACAGGCCGGGCATCCTCAGGCACAGAGGACTGGACTGGGCCCTGTCACATAAAGAGGTGCTCCAGGAAGTTGGAAGCCTGGGAGGACGTTGAGCAGATTCTCCTGGGCGTGCGTCGTGGGTAGAGGAGCAGCCCTCAGACGGGAGCAGGAAACTGGAAAATAGGACAAATGGGTGCCTGGGGTCCTTACGTCCTGGGACGACGTGGGGGCGGCGACACCCCAGCAGTGGGGAAGAGCGAGCCAAGGGTGCCAGTCGGGTGTTTCCATGTGGCCCCTCCCGGTTCAATAGCCTCACCTCCTGAGGCCACCCAGGAGAATGCGCCCTTCTGCCCGGGGCTGCTCGCCTGGCTCAGGTCCGGACCCAGCGCTCTTTCCTCCTAGCCTTCTAAAGCCCGCCTCTCTCCGCAACCTGCGCGGGCCTTATCTGCCCAGCAACTGTGACGTCACCCACCTAGTCCTCCCTGAATGGACGAGATTCACTGGCTAATCCCATCTTTGAGATTATCCTGGTGTGTGCCCTCGAGGAGAGGGTGAGCGGTTCAGAAAGGCTCAGAGAGGGCAAGGCGGTGTCCAGTGTGATGTCCTGGCGTCTCCACCCGCTGAGGCGACCAAGAGAAGGGCTGTGAGGTGCAGTTGCTGATGCCTTGGAGTAGGAAAGAGAAAGGGAAGCCACAGGAAAGAAAAGGCTGTAGGACACAGCAGTAAGACAGTGCTGAAGAGTGGGACCCCAAGATGTGGGGGGTGGGGGGGTGGGGAGGGCTGTTTGTGGACGCGGAGGAACAGGAGAGGCCGCAGTACAAAACACCAGTTTTATTATAAATATCAAGCACCCACGGGACAGCCATAGGCCAGCCTATGCCTTTGGCTGATTGCAAGCTGCCGGTCCTTTCTCCCTGCACATTTTGGGTGGCGTTTCTGCTCATTGTGCATGCTGTGACAGCAGCGGGGCTCGGGAGGGTGGAGGCAGGAGAATCAGGGGTTCAAGGTCAGCCTGGGGTACCTGAAACCCAGTCTCAATGAGGGGCGATTTGTGTGTGTGGAGCGTAACTTCCACGGTAAATTCCGGCCATCCAGTAGGTAGGGGCTAATTTCATCCTGTAGCAAACACCTCTGCTTCCCAACTGTCTCGATAATGGCTGTGTAATCGCTTTGCTTCCAGGATCACACAGAGCACGAGCAGGGGAGAGTGGAGGAGGGCCGTGCGCAGGTCCACAGGCCCCGTCAGTCTGAAGGAGCCTCGGGAGCCTCCACCATGGCGCGGTAGCAGCCTCCGAGCTCCATGAGCTGCAGATGCGTGCCCTGCTCGCAGACAGCGCCTTCTTTGAGAAAGAGGATGTGGTCGGCCTGCTCTGCCAGGCCGAGCTGCTGGGTGATGAGAAGTACGGCTCGGGAAGCCCGCTGTGGGCTCTCGTACAGGAGCCTCCGCACCTGCAGAAACACACAGGCCTTACAGGGCAGGGCCTCCACCAGAGGGAGGGCCCGGCTTCCGGGGCTGGGGCACGGCCGCTTCCTGTCTGGAGCTGCCTCCAAACCTCTGTCCGGGCCTCTTCACAGGAGGTGGCACAGATGCAGGAAAGCACAGAGGGAAGGGACCTGAATAGTCTCTCATCTCTAGCCAGACACTGCGAAATTTATATATATATATATTCTTCCATATATGATATCCCAACTGCAGTTTCTCCTCCCTCCTCCCAGCGCTCCTCCCCACCCCACCCTACTCCACCCACTCTTCCTCCATTTTCCTTCAGAAATTAAGGCCTCTCAGGGACATCAACCTAAGACGGCACACTGAGATGCAGTAAGACTAGGGTTGCCTCGTCCAGCCTTAATGTGCGGGAAATTGTTTACATTCAAGAATATATATTAACTTATGCTTTGAGAACGTCACACGTGTACACAATGAAATAAACCACCTCCCATGTCCCTCACCTCTGTCCCCCAGGGCCCACCCCCAGGTCACCGTTCCTAGTTCATACACCTCTTTTTATTAAACCACTACTAAACTGAGAATGTTTATATTCCACTTAAAGAAATTCAGCGCAGGGGCTGGAGAGGGCTCAGCAGGTAAGAGCACTGAGCCCCAGCGCCCACACGGCAGCCCGCCCTCATCTGTAACTCCTGTTCCACCCCCTTCCGACTTTCGGGGGCTCGAGGCACACAATGCACACACGTACGATCAGGCAAGGCGTGAAAAATAAAGACGTCTAAATGTTCAAGGTGAGCTTAGTAACCCTGGGCGTGAGAATCCAGAGGCTTGGATTTGGACTCAGCAGCCGTGTGACTGTCAGAGGGTTAATCAGCCTCGCTTAGACTCGATTTTGCAATCCACAGACTAAACACAGCAAAGGACCCCAATGGACAAGTCAGTACAGAGGATGCGAGAGCACGTCCGGGACACAAAGCAAGCTTGGGCCACCTCGACACTCAGGACAGACAGACGCTCTGCTCACTGGTCCCCCAGGTCCTGGAGGAGCACTATGGGAACTCAGAATCCCAAGGACAGGTGTGAACAGTTGTGTTGCCGTAGCTAACACGGGTGACAGAGGCAAGATCGCCTGGGAACGAGACCCTAGGAAGATGACACAGCAGGTGACCTGCGCTCCAGAGGTAGCAGCCGGAAGACCGCCAGCACGGTCTCCTGAGTGGGCTCAGGCCAGGACCACACAGCAGGCGGCTCAGAAGCAGAAGGGACCAGGAAGCCTCACCCGCAGCTGGTTGTCAGCATCCAGGGCGCTGGTGGCGTCGTCCAAGATGAGCAGGCGTGGCTTCCGGATCAAGGCTCGGGCCAAGGCCACTGCCTGCCGCTGACCTCCTGACAACTGGTTCCCGGTCTCCCCGACCTCTGCAGAGACCAGAGTCCAAGTGAGGCGTAGACAGGTGTGTACACACTCTCACTCACATACACCGCATACACACAGACACATACACACACCACACACACACTACACACACTCAGACACATCCATGCACACACACTCACACGCCACACACATTCACATCACACGCCACACACATACACACACTCACACGCCACACACAGGACTGACAGAGAGGCGGCTGGAAGGGAGACCTGGGGAGGCAGACGGAATCATGGAAACAAGAGTATTGACTGCAAGAGTTCACATCCAAAGGGCAGGAGGCACTGAAGAGTGCAGGCAGGGCTCCTGGAGCCTGGAGGTGAGGTGAGGTACCTGTGTCATAGCCCCGAGGGAGCAAAGAGATGAAATCGTGGGCGCCAGACTCCATGGCCACAGCGGTGATGTCCTCCATGGTTGGATTCCGGGTCAGGCCATAGGCGATATTTTCCCGGAAACTTCTTCCAAAGAGCAGCGGCTCTTGTGCCACTGCGGCCACCTGAGGTGAAGCATGGAGAGGCACAGACAGGAGACAGGGGAGTGCTGTTGTCTGGGGGCTGACGACTCACAACCCAGTGCCCACCACGCAGGTCCTTCTGCGCCGGGCCCCACTCTGCCCTGGTTGCCAGCTTCCCCTAACTCCGCAAGGGCTGTCACTGAGAATACCCTTGATCTCCTCGCTCCCCCCCCCCCGCACCTATCCGCCCCTCCCCCCCTCACCTGTTGGTGCAGGTAGCGGTGCTCATACTGGGCCAGGGGCTGGCCGTCCAGCAGCACCCGGCCCCCGGTGGGCTGGTACAGGTTCTGCAGCAAGGCGGCCACCGTGCTCTTCCCTGACCCGTTGGGGCCCACCAGGGCGGTCACCTTCCCCGGATGCAGTGTGAACGTCACACCCTGGAGGCCAGAGAAGCAGATGGTGGTAAAAGCATCCAGAGGCCTCTAGCCTGGAGCCTGTCACTGTCTTACCCAGGAGGAAAACGGAACCTCTGTGTGCACGGGTTTCTGAAGCGGGAAAGAGGGGATCTGGGCAATGGGCAGCACCAAACCGGAGGACAGAGGCTGAGCATCTTCTCCAAGAAGCAGAAACTGTGTTCTGCACCACAAATGGTGGCTGGAGTCGCACGTTGCCATGCCAACTACTTTCTTTCAGGAGCTTGATATTTTTAAAAAAGTTTGTTTTGACTTATTTATTTAATTTTATGTGTAGGACTGTTTTGCCAGCGTGTATGCATGCGTGCCATGGTCGTGTCTTGTGCCCAGGGAAGTCAAAAGAGGGGAGAGGATCCCGGGAGCTGGAGCAGGGGGCTGTGAGCCACCATGTGGGCGCTGGGAACCGAACTGGGGTCCTGCAAGAGCAGAGCGTGCTCTTAGCCACTGAGCCGTCCCCAGAAGCCTTCCTCTTGATGCCTCTTCTCCTCGTATCGTGGGAAGACCGAGCTGGTTCTTTGGTTGGGGTGATTTATAAACATATGGTTTTCACTGTCACCTGAGGGTTAGGATGGCCTGTGCTGCTGGTAAGAAGATGGAAGGGGAGAGCGTGGGGAGGGTGGGAGTCGGGATTGGTGGCAGTACCTGAAGCACTCGGTCCTCAGGACGGTTTGGGTAGGCGAAGGAGACATCTTGGAACTCGACAAGGCCTTTCATGTTTAAGGGTGCCAACAAGCCACTGGGTGGAGAGCAAGGAGTCCGGTCCAGGTATTCGAATATTTTCTCTGAGGAGCCCACGGCCTTCTGCATCCAGGGATACACGGAGAGCAGGACCTGCTTCACAGAGTACAGTGTGGGTGGGGGCGGGACAGGCTGGGAGAGCAGGAGGGGGGAGGTCCGACCTGCTTGACAGCATTCAGTGATGAGAGCAGGCAGAGCATGGGGGCAAACAGCAGGGGCAGCAGCTGACAGGCAGAGATAGCCGAGGCACTGGGTGGGGAGGAGGGGGGAGGAGCGGGGGGGGCT